GGGAACTTCATTCAGTAGGCATTCATAGAAACTGATTTAAAAATGCATATTTTATTTGTGGGGCTTTGTTTCTTTCATGCCACTTAAACACATCTTCCTCTCTGCTTTCATGCAATTTAATTAAGCATTATCAATTTTAACTGAGTTTAGATAGCAATAGCATTTACAGCACTCTCTGGGCAGTTTACAATGTAGAAGCATTGTTTGCATATTGCTCCCAACAATTGGGGTTCTCATTTTACTCACCTCAGAAGGATGGAAGGCTGAATTGAGTCTCAAAATGATCAAACTCCAGGCTGTGGGCAGAGTTAGCCTGCAATACTGCATTCTAGCCACTGTGCCACCAGGGTTCTAGATGTTGCATATTCTTCTGTTCTGAAGCATCCAGAAATCTCACTTTATAATGATTTGTAAAGTGAAAATGTTAGAAACTTGAAAAGACAACACTAAGAAAGAGGCATGGTATTGATTTTATTTTTTTAATTCATAAGAGAAATCGTTTTAGCATTCCTTACTGTTTTTACATTATTATTTTTCATTTATTTGTGAAGTTTTTTCAACCTTCATTGAAAAAATATGTTTTTAAGATACGTTTAATAACTTATATCCTACTTTATTATAAAAAAATAAGAGAATAAAGAAAATAGAGAGAAAACAGTTTATTAACTGAAGAAGCATACTGAACTCTATTTAAGTTCCTTAGCTACTTATCCATAATATAACTAAGATGAATTAGTATTTTTTAAAAGATGCTTCAGCCTTACAATTATCCAAAACACATTCCAATACTGATAGTTATACAAGGGTTCTAGATACTGCTGAAGCATCTAGATCAAACTGTGATATATTTTTAACTAAAGATAATTTTTTTGCTGTTTTAGGCAATAAATATTCTTCATGCAATAACTCAGTTTAAAAACCAGATTGGCTATACTATGATTTAAAACATGCTATAGCCCAAGACATTTCCAACCCCTCCCCAAAATAACTTGTTAATTTCAAACTAAAGTTATCCAGTTGATCAAGTCAATAAAGGTCAACATAATTCTTTTGTCCCAACATCTCCAAATGCCAGTGTGATTTTTGATGTATTAATTACAATGAAGGTATGGTTAAATAACAGGGTCAAGCCACTAGCATAATATTTATAATTAGTTAATAATTTGAAATTAGTTAATAGTTTATAATTATGCTCATAATGGTTATTTTGCTCAATCTATTTGTATTCTATCAAGAATTTCAAATCAAATATATGTGCCCAATAATAAAATTGAAAGATGGAAATATTGAAACATCTATCATATGATAAGCGCAATTTAGATGAATAAAAATCAAAGTTATTATCCTCCAAAAGAAAGTTTTCTTGATATAATTATTCTTATGTATTTAAAGGAATTTAAGTAACAGTTGAAACTCCACATTTACAAATATCTCTTATTAGAATGTATAGGTTGTCTGCTGTTGGTTCAATATAACAAGCCAATTACTTTAAGTTCAGATTAAAATTAAGAGGAAATAAAAGGCATCTTTGACAGATTCTACAACAGGGATCCCCAACCCCCGGTCTGCAGCCCAGTTCCTTCCTTCCTTCCTTCCTTCCTTCCTTCCTTCCTTCCTTCCTTCCTTCCTTCCTGAGGAGGAAGTATTTCTGTTAATAATAACCCTAGTGAAGGGAATATAGTATTGACCCAGCTGATTAAAAAGGGAGAAAAACTGTCTCCACAGCTTATTTTGAGTAACAAAAGCTGTGTGTGTGTGTGTCTGTCTGTCTGTGTTTGTGTGCAGAATCTTAGAAGGAGCTACATTAGAAGGAGTATTATATTCCACACACATGCAAACACACTCTATATATAAATGCTATTTTTCTGACACTTGGAAAAATGTTTTTTCATTAAACATTCAATCTTATCTAACAATTAACATTGTTATGCCAATGATAGTAGATCTTAGAAGCATTTGTTGGTAGTAAGAGCATTTCACTTTATTCTTAGGTTTGTGCGTGCATTTCTTTTAATTGAACACTTTATTTATTCATTAGTTTATTCAATGTCTATAGCCGCTCATCTCAGTCAACGACTATGGGCAGCTTGCAATTCAACTTTAAATAATCTGTATAAGTAAATGTAAGAAAGAGCACAAACCAGGGTTCTAAACATGCAATAGAGGTTATAGCTTTCTAAATAGTGAGAACATTTTATAGATGTTTATTTAGCAATAAACTAAATAAAAGAGAAAAGAAGAGGAAAACAATATGTTTTGGGGTTGCTGTTTTGTATCTGTTTACATTTTTCCTTCTAATGTGTGCAATGTGCTTAATTTATATATCTTTCTGGCTACATAAGCACAAGTATAAATTTAAGTTAACATGAAAGGAGAGGATTCATTTTCAGATTTCTCTTCATGGTCAGTTGGTTAAACGGGAAATGCTGATTTAAAAACAGGCATTTCTACATATGTTTTGGAGGGGGAATAAAGGTACAAGCTGAATCCTTCTGCAGGCAGGGTCCTGTTTTCCTTTTTTTTCTTTCTTTTTTTTCTTTCTTTTTTTCTTTCCAGACAGAAAGTGAAAGGACTAGTAGAACAACTGCTGCAGCAATTTAGCTTAAAAATAACACAGCATCTGTTTGTGATTAGAAG